ATCATCATCATTTAAATGGATAATAATCAATTTGTAGCACGCCACTTGAATCTATCAGTCACCTAAACTGATCACACCCACACATCCACACGCCAAACATTCAGATTAACTTGAATTATTATCACCATCATTTAAATGGATAATAATCAATTTGTAGCACGCCACTTGAATCTATCAGTCACCTAAACTGATCACACCCACACATCCACATGCCAAACATTCAGATTAACTTGAATTATGCTACTGTGTTTCCAGCTGGAATCTTTCATAATAAATTATTATTAAAAGATAATTATGATAAAAATCATAACATTATCCCTTAATAATAACCAAAATGAATTATCTCAACTTTTCATCTGACGGTGTGAAGTTATGCTTTCTCAATGACCTTGATTGCATGGATCGACGGTGTAAATTTTGGTTGATTCTCCACTGCTTGCGTGTAAGAAACCCGGTGTGTCTTAGGGGTAACTTTGTCCTTTTTACCCAAAAATCCACGTGTCGCCTCTTGATTATTTTTGGCTCCACAAGTGCCCCCACACCTGTTGGGCTGCTCGTAGGAAAGGGCAGTAGGTGTAGAGATCTTCTTGCTCTAGGAAACTTAGGACTGCTTTTTATTTTGATGTAGATTCTCTCTTTAATATGAAATTAGATCCTTCTAGGAAAGGGAAATAAATTTCTTTCAACGCCTTTTTAAGTCTACCTTAAGTGGGTTATTAAATCAACTTTGGAGAGTGATTCATTCTACCCTACAAGAGAGAGAGCTTAGAGGATATTTGTTCCCCCTCCTCTAGCAATCTTCTACATCTTGCTCGTGCAAAGGATCGTCTTTCTTTGCTTTCTTCGTCTTTTCTGGGCCACATCGATGCAAGAAAAACTTAATTCTTCTTGTCTTCTTCTTGGGTGGTGCTGCCACGGGGTAGTCGTCGAGGTGATGCGGCACGTCGACTGGCAGGGGCCAGAAGTCGGTTTGGCATGGGCCAAGGAAGTGGTTGACATTGGTCATTGCTTGCGTTGCTCAGCTTGATTAAAGCTAAAGGTTGGCTCGGCATGGGTCGAGGAAGTGGCCTAGCATGGGCAACGGTTTGGGCTGCCATGTCTGGACTGAGGAAACTGCTTGAGTTTGATTTCTTTGCTGCCGTAGATGGAGCAATCAAGGATAGGGCTGTCAAGATCGGAACTGCCGAAGATGAAGTGTTGGATAAGCGAACTATTAAGTGCAAAAAATGGTTGCTGCCTAGTTGATCTTCAAGCATTCGATCTTTTAAACTATGTGACATTCTCACATTAAAGAGCTTACCCAGGTGGGTGTCGGGAAATTAGTTTACCCTTTCGCACTGGAGAGCAATTAGTTTACCCTCTCACACTGGAGAGCAATTAGTTTAACCTATCGTACTGGAGAGCAGACCCTTTTGGGTGTCGGGGAATTGGTTTACCTTTCGCACTGGAGAGCAATTAGTTTAACCTCTCACATTGGAGAGTATACCCTTTTGGGTGTTGGGGAATTGGTTTACGCTCTCGCACTGGAGAGCAATTTGTTTAACCTATTGCACTGGAGAGCAGACCCTTTTGGGTGTCGGGGAATTGGTTTACCCTCTCGCACTGGAGATCAATTAGTTTACCCTCTCACACTGTAAAGCAATTAGTTTAACCTTTCGCACTGGAAAGCAGACCATTTTGGGTGTCGGGGAATTAGTTTACCCTATCGCACTTGAGAGCAATTAGTTTACCTTCTCACACTGGAGAGCAATTAGTTTAACTTCTCGCACTGGAGAACAGACCCTTTTGGGTGTTGGGGAATTGGTTTACCATCTCGTACTGGAGAGCAATTAGTTTATCTTCTTGCACTGGAGAGCAAACCCAGAAAGGGTTTTGAGCAATTGTTGTGGATAGTAGTTGAGCTAGGCTTATGAATAACTTCTTGAATCTTCATTGAGAATAAAGAAATAAATCAACTGTGCTGGAAGGTAGAAACTGCATAACAAACTGGATATTCTTCGGCTTGTGAAGCCTTGTTCGTCAAGCTGCTTGAGTCTTCGAACTTATTTGGAAAAAAATCTAAACGTGGTTTAGGGGGTGATGGGAACTTCCTCTGCTTGTGTAGGCCGTTTTGTTGACCTGTCAAGATACTCATCGCATCGGCCCTCATTTTGTCAGCTTCTCAAGGTACTGCTTCCACTTTAGGCATCCGTTGATAATGTGGCCTGGTCCTGATACAATACACAATATTTTGTATGATCCAGCCTGGTAAGATCGCCTTTCATGGGTGGCGGCAGTTCGAACCAAGGTTCATTCTTGAGCTTGCGGAGAATTTGACCGATTGGAACTGTGAACTTGGTAAATGTTTCAAGCGCTGAGTCTTCTCTAGTCGGGGAACGTTCTATGTGCTTCTTTTCCGACTCATTTTTATTAGATTGCTTGGCCTCGTCCCATAATGCATGCTTTTCTGCCAAAACATACGAAGCTGTTAGGATTAATTCTTCTCCCATGATCAATTTTTCGAATAAAGGATGTTCGGTGGGAAGCCCATTTCTGAATGCTGCCATTGCTATGTCTTCGTTGCAGCCAACAATCTTGGCCTTCTCCACCTTGAACCTCTTGACATAGTTGCGAATTGTCTCCCAAAGGTCTTTTACGATGCTGAAGAGATGGTCGGATGTCATTTTGATTGAGTGGTTAAATGAATACTTCTTAGTGAAAACAAAGGAAAGTTCGTTAAAACTTCGGATCGACTGTGGTGGTAGAGTGTGAAACCAGTCTTGCACATTGCCTTGTAGAGTTGTGGCAAAAATTTTACACATAAACGCATCGTTGTTCCTGTAAAGGATCATGGTACTGCGATAATATTTGAGATGTTGATCCGGATCTTCGTCTCCCTTGTACGGAATGAAGTGAGGCATAGTGAACCCGCGAGGTGGATCTATCCACTCGATCTCATTCGTGAATGGTGACATGCTTATGTTGGTCATGTCTCGTTGAAGCGTATCATTAGCAGCTTTGTTTCGTTGGAAATTACGTAGTCATTCAGTTAGGAGCCTATCAACTTCTTCTTGAATTTGCCTCTGCTGGGGCAATGGAATTTTCGATTGCCCCCGGTCGTAACCTATAGGTTTGGGCCATTCTTCCCTCTGCTCGACTTGTCTATGTCGCGGCTGCGGTGCATATGGCATTTTCCTGGCAAGCGAACGGGTTGCTCGCAGTCTGCCGGTTGAACTTGAGTCGGATTGAGCGATTTCTTCTTTCCGTTTGCCATGCTGCCTCCTCCAATGTGAGGTGGAGAATACTCCTTGTGAGCTTGGTTGTGAATGATCATTTTGCTTGGAAAGTTGTCCATGTTGATAATCAAAATGTGACCTCAACCGTGAACGTATGCTCGTCCATGAGCTTGATCGGGATTGCACGTTCCTCCACGCGCTAAGACGAGAGTATTCATTATCCCAAGGACCTAGGCAGGAGCGTAAACTACCAGAACGCCCGGACTGTGGCTGGTTGATAGGCTGCTTGCCGGGATGCTGGTGGAGAAGTTCATCTGCCCTTGTCCTACTTAGGGATACCTCGTCTAGGGCACGTTGGATCTCAGTGCATTTCAAGAGTTGATTCACCAAGGTTGTCTGTTGTGCAAGGGCGCTGGTCAACTCTATGACTTGTCGAGACAAATGTTGTTCGCCATTTGGATTGGAAGAGCTTGGAATGAATGTGCTTCCTCGAGCAATGGAAGTGCAGTAGGCTCTGGGCACGAGATTTGAATTGAGAAATGTCAAATCCGCGGTGAAGTGTGGTGAAAATGCCCATGGCTCAATGGTTAGTCTGGATGGTTGAAATAGTCTTGGGCTGATTTGGGCTGCTTTGAGTGTTACAGAAGCAGGCTGGGCCGCGGGAGCTGACTGGGCCACGAGAGTGGGCTGCTCAGCGGGTGATGCTCGCGAATGCGAGGCTTGGGCTCAAATTGGCAACGCATTGGGCTTGCGTTAGGCATGAAGTGACATGGCTCGGGCCGTGGCTTTGGTGGCATGGGCCTTGGATATCACCGCTTGGGCCGTAGTGGTGGAGCTATGGACCTCGCCGCGGGTGATTGCCGTGGTGGCCACCACAGTGGTTGCCATGGTGGAGCCTTGTGGTTGTGGTGCCGCTCCCCCTAAGATCACATTTAGTCTCGTGGATCGCCGCGATCCCATTTCTTGAATATTGGAATTTTCACTTGTGGAATTTTCTAAATTTCTAGCCATTGTATTTCTCTTTTACGTTTTATCAAAGAATCTTGGCAAATAAAAAATTCTAATAATAAGAACGTACGAAAAATACAAGTGGACTAGAAAATATAGAAAATAGAAAAAAAACCTTTTTGCGTGAGAGTCTTCTATGAATGTGAATCTCAACTCTCAATGAAGTGGATGCAAATTTTCTCCTTCTCCTTCTTTGACAAAATTGCATCAATAAAACAATTAACACATTTGGTCAAGGCCAAGAGCCTTACGTGCCCACGATGAATGGGGGGGGGGGGCTTTGGCCGAAGAACCTCCGATGCCAAAGTTAGAAATTAGAGAGAAAAAGTGTTTAGAGAATTTTTGGGAGTTTTGCAAGAGTATGAACTTGGGTTTTTAGAGAGAATAGGGGCATATATATAGCACAAGGAGGTGGCCGGCCCTTGAGCTTTTTTGTGTGAAAAATTAGTGATTTAATTTGGTGATTTAATGGATTAATTGAGGATTAATCCATTAATTTGCCTAATTAATTTATATGGGAGGTTATAGAATAATTTCTTTGTAGAGGATGTAGAGTAAAGATGGATGAGATAAATTTGAACTTGTTACCTATTTTTTGGTTGATTCTCCATTGCTTGCGTGTAGGAAACTCGGTGTATCTTAGGGGTAACTTTGTCCTTTTTACCCAAAATCCACGTCGCCTCTTGATTATTTTTGGCTCCACAATATATATGAATACTCAGCTAACTGCCTTATCTGAATCTAACTGAATATTATAATAGCAACAATCCTAACTGCCATAATTATTTGGCTACATACTCTAACAAACCCAAGCCTAAGAGGGGATTTGGAAATAGTTTTCAACCAGCAATAGACGTGCCTCGGTTAGAACCTTATTAGCTGCGTCATTGCTCCAAGCGCAAAAATGACAACACGTTGTGGTTGGCTCCAGGCGTTTGCAACTCTGCATTCTTCACTTGATCGATGTGGGACAAAGTTTTTCTCTTAAATATGTCTCAAGACTCTTAACAATCTAACACATCACACAATTATATATTATTGTCAAAACAATCCAAATATTACAAGCCAGACGACAAAGCAACAACACTAGAAAATTACTTTTGAAAACAAAAAAGCACTTGTTGAGAATACCAATCGACATCCTTAAGTTTAATTGTTGTGTAAATTTATGGAAAAGCTTGAATCATTGATTGGACCGCATGAATAGGTGTGATTGTGTATCGGCTAAATCCAGCCTCTCCAAGAACATATCCCCATTCCTTCAAGGTCCTTTCTTTGCCTGTGTTTGTATGGGCCAGCATCACCATGCCTAGCATCAATCTCACATCTGCTAGCTTGTTTTCTTCTTTTCCATCTTCGATCACAGCTTCTATGATTATAACTTTCCCTCTATCGTTCAGAATAGCTTCTCTGCACTTTTTAGGATACGAATACAGTCGTCGTCTCCCTAGTTGTGAAGAACCCACTCAATTCAAAAAAAGAGAATTAGATCATACTTTTCACATAACGCATCTTGTCTATCAAGCAAGAATAGAGGAACCCCATTTTTTCTCGATGGTAATAAGCAAATCACATGATGTGATGGTTGATATGTTTGTTAACTGACATCTTAATTATATTAAGTCATAAGTTGTGCTCCCTAGCTCTATTGAGGTTTCATTGGGGGATTAATATTAAACAAGACGACTGCTAGCTAGCAATTTTCAAGGCAATAATCTTCCTAAGTGGTTTAATTTTATTGGTTTCCTTAAACTATAAATATACTAACCATGATAAGTTCAACATCAGCCCACAAAAAAAAGTCACCTCCGACATTCTCAATCCGATCACACTCCTGAGCAACATACACAACATAAGGAAGATCAAAGTTGATGCCTCGAATCCACGGACAAGTCTCGACCAACAAGCACAACGTAGTCCCATTACCACCACCCACACCTACTATTGTCTCGAGCCCTTTGAACACCTCTAAACAGCTTTCAATCACTGTAGGCACATCTACCCTTGCATCACAAGCCATTGCATCATTGATGAGCTTGCTGTGATCAGGATTGGCGGCGGCAAAGCTCCATAAATCTTCTCCACGCACTACCTCAAATGACGGATTGCTATTTCCTCAAAGCCGGGCACTTAGGCCGTGCCATGATGCCAGCATTACTGGGCTACTCTCGAGCAAAATGAACGCAGCCACGCTATTTTCTCCGGATTTTAATAGCCGTTTGGACAAAGGTTTTTGTGCATAACCTTTGGGGCCTAATTCCGTTGGTTTTTCTTTGAATATTTTGAGGTGGACTAGTACCCTCATGACGCGGTATAGGCGAGAAGGATCACAACTTAGAGCAGACGAGAGCTCTAAGAGTGTCATGGGGCTGCCATGGCTTTCAATTGCATCCGCTATCCCGAGTTCAATGGCGCATTTTACAACGCGATTTTAACAAATCCGAACACATATTTCCACACATCCACTTTCGCACGCTCTTCTTCTTCTTCCCACGTTAACTCTCTTTTTGTATCTTCCGTTTTTTCTCTGCGTGTGCGTCTTGTTGTCGAAAGCTCAACAAAATGTGCAAGATCGTGAGTGGAAACAAACAATGACAAGGAAGAGATAAACAAACAATGAAACCAAGTAACACACAGAAATAATGGGTTAGTTGGTCTCTTTTCACTCTATTTCATTGGCTCCGTAAGAAGCTCTTTATATTACAAACTATATAGCCAATATCTAAAACCATTAACTACATGTTCCCACCTCACTTGACAACATTTATTGCGAGTACTAGCTATTTGGGTTAATATTTGAACATTGGACTACAAGTATGTGGAAGCCCAATGATGCCGATTAAAAGAAAACTTGCCCGAAACCCATCATCGAGCCCATAGACAAGTTGGCACCTTCCCATTAATGCATAGGTCATGTGCCTATGATTTAAAATGTCAAGTGATGGGGACTAACTCACAATCGGCCAAAAACCACTTTTCAGTGGCAACACAAGTAAAAAGCTGATGACTCACTACCCTCCAAGTGTTTTCGGGCAAGAGCAAAGTCACTATAGTCGGGCTAAACTGCCTATAAAAGGAGGAAGAGGCCCAAGAGACAAAGATACTCAACCAATCAAACAAACAAACATACAAATTCTGGTCTCAAGCCAGATTTGCATCTAAAAGCTGTAATCAGCCCAGATCTCAATAATTTTAGGATCATTCCCTACAAAAGCCATCTTTTGTCTAGTTTAGAAGCTCTGCTATCACCCCTAGTGGCTTAGTATCGATTCCCTTGTGTAAACTTGTTTACCATCCATCCCTTTTTTAGCATATAAACCCTGTAAACTCAAAAGAGAAGTGATTGCAAGAAGTTCAACCTTACCCGACAAGGTGAAATCTTGCTCAAAGCTCTTTGTTTGTTTTATAAGTTAATAGATCTACTACTTAATGTCTTCTCCAACATGTTTTCAAGTCATTTCCATCAGTTTTCCCATTATAAGTGTTCCATTTGCATCCAGATCTGGTTAGTTTAATGGACATGCTATCATTAAAATCAATCAAGAACCAAGTAAATGACTTAAGGGGATCTGAACTCCCTCCATTCGAACATACAAGACTATGAACTAAAAGACCTTGTTCGCAAGGCAAGAAAAAGAACTTAATGTGGACTTAACCCATCCACGACAATCCTTTGATAACAAGAAGTTTGAGTAACTTGGGGCACAAGTAATTGACTAAACACAATCTTGTTCTACATTTGCTATACTGAGATAGTAGTGCACGCCTAGCACTTGGTTAGTTTTGATTGCGAGCCTCAATGCCTATACCTAAGTCCCCACAAAGGCACATTTCAAAACTAACTCTATCCTTTTCTTGCAGCACATTAGCAAGCAAGAGTCTGACTACACATCTAGACCCGGCAGTTTCTGACACGACACGGTGACACGACACGAAAATGACACGAAAATACCGAGTTTCGGGTCAACATGATAACTTATCGAGTGACCCGTTAAGAACCCGTTAATAACGGGTTCTTAACGGGTATACACGCGGGTAACACGTGGGTAACCTGTTTCGACCCGTTAAGAAAAAAATTATTTTGATAATTTTAAAGTTTAATTACTAAAAGATTTATTATAAAATACAATAGCCATATTAATATATACAATATATTCTATATTAAATATATAGTTTTGTATTATTATTCTTTATAAGTTAAAAAAAAAGTTTTAGTCATTATTTATTTTTATTATGAGAGCTCCTTATTATCATTATCAGGATAAATATTACTTAACATATTGTTGTCCAAAATTAAAATAAACTAATATAGTATTTGTATAGGCAAGAACTAAGAAGACACACATACAAGTATGAAAAATGTGAAAGAATATATAAACACTCGTGATTCATCATTATTCCTCCACGAGTAGATAATGGTTACACTTACATTATCGTTTAGATTTTTAAAATCCTCCAAACCTTCATGAATAATGTTTTTTATTTGAGGGAAAAATTAATAAAATTAATAATTATTATTGTATAAGTGTAAAAAATGTAAAAAAAAAAATACAATCACTCATAGTGACAAACTTTACAACTTTCATGAAGGGGTTAGCTTCGAAATCCAGCACTATAATTCATAAACCTTAAATTTATATTTAACCGTCGATTGCCATTTACGCTTTATTCTTCTTACTGAATTTCATTTTTAAAATTTTCTTTTTTGAAAACATGATCATTTGGCGGATGTAAGAAGATAAACGGTTTAGATCTTTGATATCATGTTTCGATATTTATGTTTAATTGAAATATGAGTCGATGTCATATAGTTTGTAGAAACTTTATAAACATCAAGCAATATTTTCACTAACCGTAAAACTCTGAATATAATATCAATGATCCAAACCGTTCATCTTCCTGCATCCTCTAATATATCAAGTTTTCAAAAAAGAAAATCTGAAAAAAAATAAAATTTGATGAGAACAATGAAGCGTAAATGTAAACAACAATCAACGGTTAAATTTTGATCTATGATTTATATGATTATAGTGGCGAATTTCAAAGTGAAGCTCTTCATGAAAGTTGTAAAACTTGTCATTACGAGCGTTTCTACATTTTTCTATATTTTTTTTACACTTCCACATTAATTAAAAAATTATTAAAGACTTTAGGTAAGTGAAAATATACTTAAAAGAAAAATGTGTTTTTATGTTTTGGACGTGACAATATGGTATGTATATATTTATTTAGTATTATGTTTTTCATTTTATTATTTATAGGTTTAAAATATATTTTCCTTAACGGGTAATGGGTCGGATCATATTACCTGTTAATATTATCAAGTCAATTTGGAGTCGGGTCATTTTACCCGTTTATTTTAACGTGTGTTACACGACACGACCCGTTAAGATATCGGGTATGACACGAAAACGACACGAACACGAAAATCACGACACGAATGCCAGGTTACCAATTCCTTGGGGAGTTGTGTTGAGAGCCGATGAGCTCTCTCCGGAGAAATCTTCGCCTGAACACCAGCCATGTCCATGTTGACAGCTAGCTCTTATCAGTGTCATTACCAGAAATTCTGGTTTGCCCTGCTAAATTTTGAGGGGACAAAATTTTGTAAATTAACTTCTTCGTACCCCCGACAACTTCACAGGTTCGTAGGGTTAGTAAAGTCAACATTTTAGGTTTACTAGAAAATCTTTTGAGATGGAACAATGTCGCAGGGTAAAAATAATTCCGTAGGGAAAAAATTTGGCGGCAAAGGAAAAATTTGGGGCGCAATTAATGAGGTTTTATGGGGTTGATAGCTGTTCATCATGTAAATACAGTTTAACTGACGGATTAATTCATCGCGTAAGATTATGTGGTCGTCTACAAAAGCCTAGTTTATGACGTGTAAAAGAACAGGGAAACAT